GCTACCCACAGATAAACACACAGGAAAATATAATAAAATAAAATCAATCATACAGTACATGCATCCATACATCCAAATATTTTATTCCTTCCACCATAAGGTTAGCCACTTTAAATAGGATCCTTATCAACAGCTTATGTATGCTTGTATGTAACCAAACTTCTGAGCAAAATCACACTGATTGAACCAATCTACAGTGCTTTAACAATAATTAGTGGTGCCTAATTAAATAGCATTCTTTGGACCTGCAACTTATCTAATAGCCTATAGAGGAATTAGATATGTTATTACTTTATCACATATTTACATGAGCAGACAGCTAGCATTTAAGTCACAGCTTACAGAAGAACTCAGTCTGGCCTTAGTGAATTCCCTCCATGCAGCTTTTGTTCAGCAGAGGAGAAATGGAAGAAGAGACTATGTCTGTCACTTTTTACTTGTTAACATCTTGGCTTCTTCACTGGTTGTTCACGTAAGTGTTGTTCTAATACAGTAACAAAAGATGTGAGTGCAAAGATTTTGCATTTGCAAGTTATGCATACCCTTGGGGCTAAGCCCCCGCCTTCAATCCTATGTCTCTGATTGCCGATAAAATTAATTTATAAAAAATGCGCTCCTTGGGCTCTGATGCAGCCGCCTTTCTCTGTCTGTACTCACCACTCTGTGGGCTCGAGCAATGCCCCCCCCACAGTACTAGCTGATTGGTTATAAGTCACGAGTAATAGCCTATCAACACTGATTATAGTGTGGAAGTTAGGGTTGGGCCGATAGATGATGCCATCGTCCATCGGCGATGGCTGACAGACATCACAACGTTGAGCCGGCATCGTGATTGTAAAACCCCCGCCCCCCCCAGCAAATATTTTTTTCAAATTTTCACATTATACCACCCTGTGAAAGCATTTTTTTTTTTTATAGAACTTTATTTTTTGTTATTTTAAAATAACAACATGTACAAGACATGAAAGAACAAACATTCCCAAGCCTGGCAATTCTAACAATAGTCACAGTAAATACAAAAAATTATTAATTCATTCATTCATTCATTCATTAACTCCAGATTCTCAGTCAAAATGGTTCCCAAACCAGGCAAAACTTCTGTTGCTTACCATCTCTCAAATACCTAATCTTTTCAAGGTGAATATAGCTTATCATGCCATGTACCCAGTTAATATGAGTAGGTGGATGCTCGGATTTCCAATTCAGAAGAATCCGTCGTTTAGCTATTAAAGAAGAGAAGGCGAGAGCACCTTTTTTAAGCTTTGAGAGTTGTGTGTTTTTGGCAATAGGCCAAAAAGTGAAACAAGTGGGCACAGTAGAAATCTGAAAAAAACTAAAAAGATGGGTCTTAGGGAGGTTAAATTTTGAAGACAACTGTGAGAAGGGGGCAAACACTCCATCAACGTATAGATCCTTAATTGTTCTGATTCCCTTCTTAAACCAGATCCCAAAGACATTTTCATTCAATGATGGGGGAAATGCTGGGTTTCTATTACAAGGGGAGGACAACGGGGAGGATTGGAACCCAAAGTCGGATCTGAACTGTTTCCAGATGCGTAGAGACTGATTGACTATCGGGTTATAGTTTGAATGTTTAGGAATCAAAGTTAGTGGGAAGCAAAGAAGAGCTGTCAGGCATGCTGGCTGGCAGGAAGCTTCCTCAATTTGTAACCATGCAGGGACACAATCACTGAGACCAAAATGGCAATGAGGCCAGTACAGAATGCTGTGGATGTTGGCAGCCCAGTAGTGTGACTGAAAGTCTGGGAGGGAAAGCCCCCCAGACATTTTTGGTAGTTGTAGTACAGGCCTACGTATTCTGCTAGGACCTTTATTCCAAATGAAGGAAGAGATGGCTTGATGAAGGGTTCTGAAAAATGCTTTTGGGATGAAAACGGGGACACACTGAAAAAGGTACAGAAATTTAGGTAATATGTTCATCTTTACTTCATCTATACTATTAGTGACAGGGGGAGAGATGACCAGCGTGTGAAGTCTGATTTAGCATATTCCAGAGCAGGTGTAAAGAAATCTAGAGACAAGGGGGAAGTAATTACATAAACATTGAAAGGGAACACAGGACATTCAGAACTAACCCAAATACTGAAAGAGGAATTACTCTGACAGTGCACAAGTGCTCAAGGATATACCTAGCCCTGAGAGCCCTGTGAACATACATGAAGTTATTAGAAGCCCAGAGCACTGTCTTACTGGGAAGTCAGGTTCGGCTGTCGGTCAGGACCAGGGAGCGGTGCGCCCGCTCGATCACCGGGGCGCGAGATAGTTTCCCCTTTCCAAAGAGGGAGGTAAAAAAGTTTGATATAAAGTCAGTGGGTAATCCTAAGGTTCATTCTACGTTAGCGGTTTTCGAGGTTGTCGGTTTTCAGTCGGAGGAGCTGGTTTTCCGCGGTTAAAGCGGCACACCACTCCTCTACTGTCTGTAGGTTGGATGACATGTCAGGGAGAGCCGCTTCCAGCACCACTATCCTGGTTCCGTGGTCGTCTATGGCGGACGCCAGAGCAGATTGTGACTTGCGAAGTTCTGCAAGAAACTCAGTCCTTAAGTCTGAAATTTCTTTCCTAAGCGTTATAGTGAGCAGCTTTTCCATGACCGCTGGAGTAAGTTCAGCAGCCGCAGACTCATCCATGACGTTAGCGTTAGCTTCAGAGTCCGTTTTTGGTCCCCTTCGTGGCATTTTGTGCACGATATTGAGTAAGATATCTCAGCAGTCGACAAGGGGAAGTGGGAAAAAAAATTATAAATAAAGAAATGGTGGGCTTCACAAAGCGAGTTTAAAAGTCTAGTTCACAGAGCGACTCCCGCATGTGTCTCACCACCTGCAGCGCATACCGGAAGTCTACGAAAGCAGGTTTTAATGACCACGAACATTCATATTATTGTTTTTAAGTATGCTTTCCACTTGCCTCGGAATTCTCTTCTCCCCACACTCTGACACACTCACACACAGCACCCCCCTCTCTGTCTCTCCCCCCGTCTGCTCCATTTTCTCCATCAGCAGTATGTTTTATAAAGTCGCCTAAAAGACTGAGAACTCGTCTTTTTTCCGTATATTTCCACCCACGATCCGTTATCACGGCAGCAGGTGAGCCGCACGTTGGCTTATTAATGACATAGCTTATCAAACAACTGAAACCAACATCTGCACCCAGTGTGTTCACTGTTGCTTTACCTGGTCCGTGCCTAAAATATCCACTGCAATTTGTTTTTACCGTGTGAAGTCTGTGCGAGAACACATGCACATAGATGACTGCTGCCCCCCCGCACGCGTGCCCGCGCCCAATGACATCATCCATCCCGATGTTTCATTGTAGACATCGTCCGATGGAAATTTTGTAGACATCACCCAACCCCAGTGGAAGTAGGCAATGAAATGAGCAATCACACTGCAGCTCCTCCTCTCCTCCTGAGCGGAGATCAGTGTAGATTACACAAGTTGACCTTAACTACGCCCGTCACTGTAAGCATGGTAGTAACCAGCTATGAGGTCACCGAGGTCCGGACGTCCACAATTATTATAATAATTTAAAGAATTGAATAAAACCATTGATAACAAGCTCAACTTAAATGACGACTTTAGGACCATGCGGACGCAGCTGATTACACCGATAATAACTGAGAGCACTGCTGTTTGCGGGCAGAGTTATGGGCGATAAATACCTTTACGAATTTCCTGGTGGGTGAAATAGGGTTTCCAGACCTGCCAAATGGCTGTGTTTGTTTGTTTGGAGTTTTTTTAATAACTTGATGGCTTTATCCAGTTTATTTTTAAATTTGTTATGAACTTTAATCATGTGCCTTCATTATACTAGCACAGTGAAATGGTACTGGGGGTAAAGGTGATAAACTGGCCAAGCATGTCTCCAGACCTAAACCCAATTGAGCATCTGTGGGGCATCCTTAAACGGAAAGTGGAGGAGCGCAAGGTCTCTAACATCCATCAGCTCCGTGATCTCGTCATGGAGGAGTGGAAGAGGACTCCAGTGGCAACCTGTGAAGCCACGCTGAACTCCATGCCCAAGAGGGTTAAGGCAGTGCTGAAAAATAATGGTGGACACAAAATATTAGGCCCAATGTGGACATTTTAACTTAAGGGTGTACTCAGTTTTGTTGCCAGCAGTTTAGACATTAATGGCTGTGATGTGTAGCAAAGTGTCATTTCTTCAGTGTTGTCACGTGAAAAGACAAAATCATATATTTACAAAAATGTGAGAGGTGTACTCACTTTTGTGAGATACTGTATATTCACTGGACAGAATGGGTATAGATTTGAACAACTAGTAACTAAAACTGCCAGACAAATAGAGTTGTAGCCTAGGCAGAAACTTTGGCTGGCTTATTTATTTACATATAGCTGCAGTCCCATTTCTGCTTTTGCCAACCCATGCACTCTGGAAAGATTGTAGTATGCTGAGTGCAAACCAATTTTTCCCACAGTCTCTCGTCTACTGTATAATTGTAGAAATTATTGTCATTAATGTTTGTACTACTCTAAGTGTTCCACGTTGCTTAATTTGTGAGATTTTCATGTTCATTTATGGTAGATTTGTTGCCTTTTAGAGATTACTCGTTGCCATTGTTACATGCCCGTAGGCAACGGAAGTTTCATTGAGGCTTTCTCTGTAGAATAATCAGTGGTGCCTTGATGAGCCCACAACTCACTCAACGATGAACATGCCAAGAGTTTATCACCACACTTTAATGAAGCTGATCTCATATTAAATGGAAAGTTACAAGCAACAGTCTTTTCCCTCAGCTGTCAGCAGCCCATTGTTGTGCCACATCACACATGCTCATCACACACTGTAGCTGACCCGGTATACCCTTATGTGTTTCATATGTATGTCCCTTTGCAATAGCCTGGGCTACTGTAGCATCCTCAGGATGCCCCATGAGTTCTTTTAGCGCTCTATGTGTAGTGTGCATTTTTGTCCAGCATGTGGTGCATACTTTATGGAGTCAAGGGCGCCAGAGCACTTCAGAGAATTTACTCATGTCATGTTTGAGTTTATTGTCATTGAAATTCCAGGATGAATACACACTGCCCATTTATTAGAAAAATTTTAAATGTAAAACATATAAAAATACCTAACATAATACTGTAGGTGCTGATGTCATGCTCAGTAGAAATGGCTTAAACTGGATCCGGTGACTGGAATGCTCTCAATACAAAATGAGGAAGTTACATACAACTGCACTGAGTAGAACTAAAACTCAAAACACACAAAAATAAGACAGAGGTGGGAATAAATACAGAATAGGCCATTTCAGTACACTGCTGTCTCAGTGGTTCTGATAATACCCTGTTCTAACACAAGCACAACAACAACAACAACAACAAAAACGGTCAAAAGATATATGATCACTCCAAAAAAATATTAAGACAGAACCTTAAATAAGGTGAATGGAGTAATTGCCCCCATGGTTTAATAAAATCAATATTTTTTATAATAAATTGAAAAAATACTTTTTCATATTGAGAGGGAAAATAAAATATTTGCTGTACAAGAATGACACCAAACCTGTGCTAAGATTTTAGAGGGATTCTTGAGTCCTGATGTGTACAATCCTACAAAAAATTTATCACAATCCCTTTGTGATACTGCTTGGAACACACTGTTAAAAAACACCTGACCTCCAAGTAATTGATAACCAATTATAATGTAATGAAAAGATGTAGAAAAAAAGTACTAGTAATCTCTAGATTAAAAGACCAAATGCCCTTGAAAATGTTCTTAAAATCTCCAGACAAATTGGAGAGAAATAAATCTATAAATGCTGTACTTTATTTTCATTATTCATTATTTTCTATTTAAAAAAGTTTTTTCTCCATCAGTCCAGACGTTGTTCTTTTGGTAGTAAGTGGAACAAACGAGGATTGTGGAGAATACAAGGAGTGCTCTTTCTGGTGACTGTATATGTTCAGGGCAAACTTCACACCATGAAGTTCATAGTTCAACGCAGAAGCTTGTTCCCTCTGATGTGGTCTGGTGGTTCATGTCAAAGGAAGTGCAGTTGGGTGTGGTGGCGGGGGTGCTGTGGTAAAATGGTGTGATGGAGATGAAAGTAAGGAGGGAGTGGGGGCAGCTGAGAAGTCTAAGGTCTGGTTGAAGAATTGGTAGGTTGAAAAGAGGGGTGAACAGATGACCAGAGAAAAGAAGAGAAAGATATCATTAGTGTATTTTAACAGCCAAACTTCTCAGTACATCATATTTGAACAGATGAAAACACCAGCAAAATTAGATATGTGATTGCAGAGTTTTTACCCAAGTAGGTCATACATAACATATAATTAGGAAGTAAAAAGGAAGTTGATCACGGAAATTCGATTTTGAAATTATGATAATGATGGTTGCAGTAAATTCTCTAATAAAATCTGGTATTTACTTAATGGTGAGTGTGAAGGAATTTTAGGCATACTATGACACAGGTTTCCCCAGGTCACGTTAGGCTCAGTTGCTGAGCTAATGTAAGCCAAAGGTGAAGGACTGTGACTCTCCAAAACAAGCAGGTCACAATCCTTCTCTCATCTCTGTCTGTTTGTTTGACATACTGACGCAGCTGTCTTGATTAGGATGTACTCTGTGATACATTTCCCAGGTATTTCCCAAGGTCAAGATTATGTTTATTTTGTTTTATTATAGGCAGACTGACTGGCTCTATGTGCTCGTCTGTGTTGCATGTAACTTGAATGACACAAAACATAGACAATAGAATCTTGCCACATGTTTAAAGGGGGAAACAATAACCTTATTTGGACAGCTAGTGAATCTCTGTTGGTCTAGGAAGGACCCTCGGATGTGGTTTGGTACTACATTGTGTCCGCACTCTGTATTTTGTTGCCAGTAAGACATCCTGAGTTTTGCTGAGATCTTCTGAAAATACGAGTTGACCTACATATAAGTATATAAATTTTGTCTGCCTACCTACCACCTTCCTAGCCACTCTGGCCAGGCTTCACCACTATCCTCTTAGCAGGATTCAAATTGACAACCTTTGGAAATGAAAGGAGCATGGAAGTGGCAAGATCTTATTCCACTGGATTATTCAGCCACACTGTCGATGTAATTTTAACTAAATTTTGGGTTACTATATGATGGTTATGGGTCTCCAAGTCATTTGAGGACAGTGGCAGCTGATTGATAGCAACATTGTAATAGTGGTAACTCTCTTGTTATTGCTTGATGACCTCATCAATCCAAGATAGCCGATTGTGATGGCCATGTGCTAAATGCCTCGGGCATATCTGTGAAAAACTTTTATTCAAGGAGGTCAATCAAGATAGAAAAAAAATAGTATGTGCTTGTGCAGTAAAGTATATAAATAAATTTTGAGTAAAATGTAGTTTTTATACACCAAAAACCAACTGTCCACGTATGTGGAATAGTGTTGTAGTACTCGAGGCCAGGTTTGATCAATTTGAGTAAAAAGTACCTATGATCACGTTCCACATTTTATTGTCTGTCATGTAATGTGGGGAACTGGTTTCGATCTTGACTCGGTATTGCCCTCCCTTGGTCTTGGTCTCTACTTGGTCTCAGCCCCTAAAAGTCTTGGTATTGTCTCTGTCTCGATAAACTCTGGTCTTTGGTCTTGACTTGGTCTCGGTTTGGGCGGTCTTGAAATCATGCAACAGTGGAGTGAGATTGCATTAAGTTGAATTTCTATAACCTTCGAGTTTATCTATTATAATTTTACAAAGATGTGATGAAATTTATTATCATAATAAAACAGACAAATAATATTAACAAATATATGAACATAAATAACAATGCAAAAGTGCATATTACAGCATTAAATGGCAACTTTTGACTGCTTTACGGCCTTTGCAAGAAATAAGACTAAATAATATGAGTTATGAGTTAAGGATTCTGGTCTTGTTTTGGTTCCATGTCTTGTGTTCAACTGCCCATGATTGCTCTTTGTTTTGTTGATCCTGTTTAAGTCTGTTTTTGGTTCTGCGTTTTTCTGTGTAGCCTTGTTTATTATTTTATTCATTTGGTATGTTTAAGTTTAATTAGAATCTGTCTTGTCTCATCTTAAGTCTTAGTCCTGCATTTTAGTTCTTTGTCTCAGTTCTTAGTCCAGTGCCTTAGTTCATGTCTTAGTGTTTACTCCTGATCCCAGTTTAGTCTGTTTTCCCTTATGGTTGTAGGTTATTTGTATAATTTGTGATCTGTCTACTTGTGTTCTGGATTTTGTTATTTATAATTTGATCTGGTCCATCTTATTTTGATATTATCAGTGCCTGCCTTATTTGTTGTTTAATTATTTTTCTACCTGGTTATTGTTTTTAGTTTCATTTGGTTATGATCATTCTGTGTCATTCCTGTTCTGTTCTGTTCTGTTCAGCCATCTTAGTCTGTTCTATCTTGTGGAGTTGCCTGTATTCCTCAGTTACTTGGTCTGTCTTCTCTGTTCTGGGTTTTGAGTTCCAGTTAGTCTTGCCTTGTGTTTTGCAACCTGTTAGTGTCTTTCTGTTTTCCCCTGCTGTCTCTCTGCCTGCCTGTGTCTCATTAGCCTCATCTCTGTCATCTGTGTTGCTTCCGCCCTGCTCGTTAGTCCCTGTATATACAGGCCCCTCCAAAAGTTTTGGAATGGTAAGGCGAATTCCTTTGTTTTTGTTGTTCACTGAAGATTGAGATCAAAAGATGAGTATGAGACAAGAGTTCAGAATTTCAGCTCTCATTTCCTGGTATTCACATCTAGATGTGTTAAATAACTCAGGACATACTACCCTTTGTTTGAACCCACCCATTGTTCAAGTGAGCAAAACTATTGGAACATGTGACTGCCAGATGTTTCTTGTTGCCCAGGTGTTGCCTTTTAGGTTGATTGTCCAAACATTAAATAGCTCTGCATGACTAGTCTAAGTTTTCATCCTTGGTTCAAACCTATAAAGACTGCATTTCCTGTTAAAGAGGATAAATCAACATGAAGACCAGAGAGCTGTCTATGGGAGAAAAGCAAGCCACTGTCAAGCTGAGAAAAGAAGGAAAATCGACCTGAGCCATTGGACAAACATTGGGCATAGCAAGCACAACAATTTGGAATGTCCTGAAAAAGAAAGAAACTACTGGTGTACTGAGCAACAGACGTCCAACAGGCCGGCCAAGGAAAACTACAGTAGTACAGAAATATCGTGACAGCTGTGAAGAAAACCCCCAAAACATCAGTATGTGACATCATCAATGACCTCCACAGTGCAGGGGTGAAGGTATCACAATCCATATAGAAAATATAGAAAACTTTATTGTCATTGTCACATGTAACCAACGAAAATGTCAAAGTGCTGACCATCCAGTGCATCATTCTTAAAATATAATTTAAAGATAGTAAATAAATAGTATCTAAAAAGCAGCATGAACAGGCATTCATATACACATACACAGTCACACTTATTGCACCAATCTCTCAATTCAGATCACTTTAGCAGCGTTAATTACAGTAATTGCAGATGGGTAAAAGTTGTTTTTGAGTCTATTTGTTTTTGCCCTGATGGATCTGTACCATCTGCCTGGTAACAGTTCGAACAGGGGGTGGCCTGGATGAGAGGTGTCCTTTAGAATGTTCTAGATTTTTTTGAGACAGTTCTTCCAGTGTGAGGAGAGGGCAGCCAACAATCTTCTGTGCGGTGTTGATAACCCTCTGGAGCGCTTTCCTGTGAGCCACTGTACAGCTGGTGTACCACACGCACATGCATTATGTCAATATGCTCTCTATGGAGGCTTGGTAGAAGAACACAGGCAGCATCTTTGTGATGTTGTTCCTCCTGAATACACTCAGGAAATAAAGTCTCTGCTGGGCCTTTTTTAGCAGCTCAGAGGTGTTCTTGCTCCAGGTTCAGGAGCAGGTTGTTATTGCTGCACCACACTGTCAGCCGCTCCACCTTGTCTCTGTAGACAGACTTGTCCCCCCCAGAGATGAGCCCCACCACCGTGGTGTCATCAGCAAATTTCACCATGGTGTTGCTGTGGTGGGTGGGGGTACAGTCATATGTATAAAGGGAATAGAGCAGGGGGCTCAGCACACAGCCCTGGGGGGAGCCGGTGCTGAGGCTTAAGGCCGTAGATGTCTGATGGCCCAATCTGACCCTCTGTCTACGCCCAGAGAGGAAGCTGTTGATCCATGTGCAGGAGTGTGGAAGCCCCAGGTCCCTCAATTTGGCCACTATTTTGTGTGGGAGGATGGTATTAAATGCTGAGCTGTAATCCACAAAGAGCATCCGCACATAGCTCCCCTGGTGCTCCAGGTGGGACAGTGCAGTAAAAAGAGGTTCAACTCCTTCAGCAGCTCCAAGGTTGGCCCTGTAGTTGGTCAGATGCTGGACTCCACACCTGCCTGCTGTTACTGCCCAGGTGTTCCTCAATCCTCCTCCTGTAATCTGATATGGCTTCTCTTTAGGTTAGCTCGGGCCGTGCTGTAGAGAGAGCTGTCTCTGGACCTGAAGGCAGTGTTCCTCTCCTTTATCATCCATGGCTTTTGGCTGGGGTAGACCCAGATCCATTTGTCCACTGTGACAGTGTCTATGCAATTCCTAATGTAGCATAATACACTGTCCGTGAACACCTCCAGGTCCTGATGTTCAAAGACCCCTCCCACTGTTCGAAGAAGACTCAGAGAGCACAAATTTAGAGGCCACACCACAAGATGCAAACCACTCATTAGCAGGAAGATTGGCCAGATTGAAATTTGCAAAGAAGAAGAGATGAGCTGCAAAAGTTCTGGAACACAATCTTATGGACTGATGAGACCAAAATTAATTAAAGTGATGGAAAGGCCAAAGTGTGGAGAAAGAAAGAAAGTGCTTATGATCCAAAGCAAACAAGCTTCATCTGTGAAGCATGGTGGAAGTAATGTCATGGCTTGGGCGTGCATGGCTGCTTCTGGAACAGGCTCATTAATATTTATTGATGATGTAACCGATGATGGTAGCAGCAGAATGAATTCAGAAGTGGACAGAAACATTTTGTCTGGTAATTTACGGAGAAATGCATTGAAACTAATGGGGAGTTTATCATGCAGCAGGACAATGAGCCAAAGCACACTGCCAAACAAAACAAAGGACGTCATCAGGGGAAAAAGTGGAGGGTTTTAGACTGGCCAAGTCAATCAGCTGACCTTAACCCAACAGATGCATTTCACCTCCTTAAGAGGAGACTGAAGGGAGAAACACCCCGAAACAAACAAAACTGTTGCATTCTTCATTTGTGATGCTATTCCAGGCTTTTACTGCAGCTTCTTTCAGTTCTTGTGATGTCAATGGGTCGCAGGCTTGAGGCAGTTATTGCAAGCAAGGGTTATGCCACCAAATATTAAATGTTATTTACTTTAAGATTATTTGTTCCATTACTTTTGCTCACCTAAGAATGCTGTGGTCGAATACAAACGGTGATATGTCCTAAGTTGTTTAACACATCTAGATGTGAATACCAGGAAATAAAAGCTGAAATTCTGAACTCTTGTCTCATACTCATCTTTTGATCTTAAACCCAAATGTCTTCAGTGAACAACAAAAACGAAGGAATTTGCCTTACTGTTCCAATACTTTTGGAGGGGGCTGTATATTTCAATTGCATTGCATTGTTTTCATATTGCATTGTTTCATTTGTACAGGTATTGAACAGGTAAGCGTCACGTAGCGCCCAGAGAACCTGATATGGAGAGGACAGAGGAGATTACCAGCAGCTTGGAAGAAGTCCCGGTATGCAAGAAAATGTCCCAGTACATCAAAGAGTAAAATGCCAAGATGCCGGTACTGCATACTGGGGCGTTTGGGCCCACTTCAAGCACTGATTGTGCTGCTGTAAACATGTCAGTATATTGAGTAGTAGCTATTGTAAACATGCAAAGAGATTACGTGCCGTTAGCTATTACAGCACATGATATGCTTTTGCATGCTAGTGACTATTTCCTTTATGATGTTTAAATTGACATCTAATTTGCAGCTGCTAATTTCTGTCCACCTCAAAAACCGAGAAAGTTATGTGACATCATAAAATTGTCAAGCTAGCTCATTGTTAAGGGACAATTAAATAATGTTATCAAGTGACAGATTATTTATTCACCACTTACCATATGTAGTGAAAACATTTAAGACCTTGGTTTAATTTGTCAGCACAAAAACCCACTTTTACATTTTGTAAAGAGGTTTCATTTGGAACCCATTTGCACTAAAATATGGATTGTCATTCAGTATTAGCCTGCCTGCAATTCTTATTATGTTTATGGTAATGTAGGTGACTAATTTCTTGTAAATTGTTATTCCAAAGGAGATGGAAAAGTTTTTCTCTTTATCCCCTCCTGTTGAACCTACCCTCATCATTTTGGGCACCTCTATGGTCCAGGCTTTGAGTCTTGACCAGCATGTAAATTGTTTGGTTCGTTCCCAATTCTACCAGCGAAGGAACATTGCTAATCTCAGGCCCATTGTATCCTGAGCTGAGATGGAAATGATGCATGTATTTATTTCCTACTGTCTTGACTACTGCAATTCCCTTTTCAACGGCCTTAGTAAGATTTCCCTGAACTGCTTACAAGTGCTCCAAAATGCTGCTGCCGAGCTTCTGACTAAGTCCATCAAATTCATTCAAGATTCTTGTAATGACTTTTTTAGCCTTGCTATAGTACCAGTAGTACTATGATGTCCTCTGGTCAGGGTTGGTTGGTTGTTCCTCGCTGAAGACAAAGGAGATACTTTTGAGGTTTTAGCTCCTAAACTTTGGATGTATATGTGCATTTCAATTCTCTTAACTGCATCCATGTTTCCCTCGCTTGCATCTTAGACCCTCCCACCAGGGATGCATGGAGAGACGCAAGTAAACCATGTGATGAGAGAAGAAACGAAGAGAGCATTGTTTTCAAAGAAATGAGACGTCCTTTCTTCTGAAGTGTCACATGACAACTTCCATTTTTGATGATGATGGCAGCTGATCAGAGCTGGATCAGCTGTCAGTCGGCTCTAACAGCTATAGAGACTTCTGATGGAATTTGTGTCTGGACACTGTCCTGATACTAATAAGGCACACAGTTATCAGTCTTCATCTTCATGCATTGTACTGTTTAAAATTAAATAGTTATTTTGATTGTTCTTTGACCGTACTTTTGTTGTCACAGACTGCGCTCACCTTATAACGAGGTGGTCACATCCTTTTTGGTCTCCGCATTTACATGGTGTGGGTCATTAGGGAGGGGTTTACCGAAGCCTGTATTTATAAAGGCCCAGGGTGACCAATAGCGACAGATCTACCAACCAATCACATGTGACTAATGATTTGGTGATGTTATTGATTTGATCTAATGACTGGGAAGCCAGGTCGATCTGCTGCTGTTTATATGTACAGTCGTTAAAACCTCCGCCAGCCCCCCGACACCACCCCTCCCCCCTGCTTGTGTGGGTACGTTTCTGACGTTTTTTAAGCACAGGCAAATGTGAATGTGCGGTGCCATAAATGACCGATAACTGCCAGGGATTAGTGGGATTCAAGGCAGGTTACACAGACAAAAATCTATTAATGCAGTGAAGGGGTGGGTGAAGATGGGTGAAGGGGGGACACTCACCTTCCAAAGGATAGGTCTGTCTTACTCTGGGGTGATCTCTGTTTCCTGGTGAACAACCACTTTGGTAACAGACATATCTGGGTGCTGCTCTTTTGCCTCTTTAATGGCCTGAGCCAAAGCCTGAGGAGTGAAGGAAGAACAACAATCCAGGCTTAGTAAGTAGAACATGATTAATCATTATAACTGAAAAGACATGCATGTGGCAATTTATGAGCTACAATTTAACTTTACTCCAGAGCTTTGTGTAAACAGTAAAGCATGAAAAAATAATTCTCCTCTTCTATCATTTACATTACTCACCTTGTCATGGTCAATTTCAGTGTCTCCAGTGATGACAATTCTCTTCTCAATGCGAGTCTCAGAGATCCCTCCTTTCACCGTCTACAACAGAGACACAACACAAGTTAAAATACAAGCTAGGAAAAACATGCATAACCAAAATCCATCTTTGTTATCCTGTGCTATTGGTAAAACAATGTCTTATTTAAGAAATTGAGAGCGTTCATGCATTTTAATAAAAAAAAAAGAATAAAGAACTACACTACACACAGCAGTGAGTATACATCAGCATGACATGCTGATGTATACTCACTGCTGAGATACAGTGTAAAATGTTGCCATGGATTCAGTGAGTTATGCTCTAGCCTACAACTTGAGCCCCACTTTTTTAGCCTATATTTGTGTATATTTTGTTTAACTGGCACTATTAAAAGTATGCTGAAATAGCAGAGGTTGTTTGCAATGTTCCCATGGTTGTACAGACAGCTGCACTCCACTGCATGACTTTGATACTGTAGAAACCTTAAACGTGATGATTCTCATACAAGTTCTGAAGTTATAAGGAGCGTCTTTTTACTATGCGGATTTATGGAAGTTTATTCATGCTGGACATCACAGATAATCATATACTGGGGAAGTGTAAGACTGAATGTAAAAATTAAATAAAATTATGTCTCTGAGTTTAGATCTGACTGAGTTATGTCTCAGAAGGAGAGAATTTTATGCAAACTGCGCCAGTGGGATGCTTAGGGTTTCAAAAGTACCTTAATTGCCTCCAAGAGCTGTGTGTCCCTGCCACTGCTGCAGCTGCTGACTGTGTTGATAAGCAGATCAAATTAGCCTACAGTAACTAAGTTTCAGTTGTTTTTAGAACACCACCTGTTCCTTTCTCATCACACAGTATCTTTGCTTTACATGTCTCCCTCCCTGCCCCCCTGGGAGGTGCGCCTCAAAGTTTGAAAATCTCTGCTCTAGACCTAACAACAAATCATTTTAGCAGTACTACCTGTGCCATGACAATGGAAATAAAAGGAGAATGATGGATAATATTTACATCACAAATCGATTATTATTATTATAATAAAATATTGCCCTTCAATGTAGCAACAGTGTAACTTGTCTTCATAACGTGACTTATTGTTTTGGTTGAACATTTGGTTGTATCCCCAAATGTTCAGGCCAAGTTATCTTGCATGTATTTTTTTTATAGGGAGAGAGTTCATGTCACTGATGTTTCTGATGTCTCATATGTAGTACATCTTGACCAAATGTGTATCTACTGCGGTACATTTCAGCATCACACAACAAAGACGTATTAGACAAAGACAATAACTATTTTGTTAGTACCTAGCAACTTCACAGGCAGTTGCAGTTCTTGGAAATCTAAAAACTGATAGTTCTTAAAAGTTCAGAAATAAGTTTTAGTGGCGTCTAGTGGTGAGGGTAGCGAATTGCAACCAACGGCTCACTGTGCATTCACATGATCCACAGATGGTTCTGTTTCCCGTGTTCTGAAGTCATTCTTCCGACTTTACTGTGTTCTTGTTGGAATGTGGAATCAACATGGGCCCTACTACAAAGATGTGTTGGATTAGCATTATCAGGGTGTATAAACAACACACAAAAATCTAGTCTACTCTACATGGACAGCAAACTAACCGTTATAACCATATTACAAATTACATGTTAGCAATATATGCAGTACGTGATTTGACACGAATCATAAGTTTCTTACCATCAACCATGTTTCTACGTGTATGACGTCAACAAATCGGCAACTCCCGTACCAAAATTTTCTTCAACTTAACTTCAGCAGATTCATCATTGACCTTAAAGATTTTGCACTGACAAATATCAAATAAAAAGAAAAAAATACTTTATAATAAATGTATTAATTCTAATGGCAAAATTCCACATGCATAAATGTAATTTCAGCAGTAAAAACACGTTGTACATTATATCAATTTAATTTCTAAATCCAACAAAGGCTGTGGAAACTGCATATAGTCCTCTTTTAATATCTTTATATAATATAGACTACATGGCAAAGTTTTTATTTGTGTCTTCTTATATATTTTTGTATACTGTTCTGTATACTTCTTTATTTCCTATTTACACTTTATTCCTCTTCTTGCAATAAAGATTCACTGAGGAAAAAATTCACCAATATTCTTACTTTTGAATGAACCAGATGACGACGACGACAACTACTACTACTAGTACAATTACAGATTCTTATTTATACGTATTCAACGTAGTGGTGAAACGCGCTTTGTAGAGAGGTTTGTCCGTTTGGGCTACTGTAGCAACATGGCCACTTCCATGTAAGGGGACCCACGGTCTATGTAGAAAGAAATTGCTCCTTCTAGGCTAATAAAAATATAACAGTCCATTATGGAAGATCTTTATACACCACTGAAAACATCGTTATGTATATCATATTGCATTTCTGTCAATAGATCCTCCTAAATATTATACACTGGACCTTTAAATCTTAAATGAGGTACTCAATTTTTAGGTTCTAGTTAAAAGATATTTGTATTTCCAACTAAAGAAATGTGGTTCCTGTCAGGACCCTGGCATAAAAATCAATAAAACATCAGACAACAAAAGTAAAAAACCACAAGTGTTTTCTTGTGGATATTATAATGTCTAAGTTTGTTAACAGAGGTTTCTTTACCAGTAATTTCAGTAGCAGACACCCATATGGTTAATTTTCTCAAAGAACAATGAAAGAAAATCATAGGACAAACACATTGTGCAGTAGAGGCTAATAAAATAGAGGCTAGCCAGGTAACATGGGCATGACTTTTATTAATGCCAGGGAGAGATAAAAGGATGTTTCTTGCAATGTAAACAATTCACATGAGGACTGTATGGCTGACATTAAAAACCCCAAATCATAACCAAAACAAAAAGTGTTCCTGATTTTCATGAGAAGAAGTGGCAGGCCATTTACAGTCTCCTCTGTCACTCTCTAGCAGTTACTTAAATATTGTATCATGAAGGGTCAATGGCCCATGTGATTCAAAGTAGGGATCCATCACAGCATGGTGGCAAATCAAATCACTGCATTGATCTGTATAGACTGATTAGGGAGCTCTTAGTGAAGTGAGAAGACCTTGGTGATCTGGGTGGTGGTGGTGGTGCTGATGGTCTCTGAGGTGATGGTCTGGGCACTCAGCAGCACCCCTGAGTCCCTCTCTGCCAGGCTGTCCACCGGCTGTGGGAGAGACACCTTTTAAGTGTTACACAAGAACCTCAAATTAATTTTTATTTAAAACATTAACAACAATTATCTTTATTCTATTGTTTGTATGTGGGATTTGTAATTTGTAAGACATCTTTATCCTACTAACAACTTTCTTTGTTGCCAACCAAAATGTTCATCTTGCATGTCTGGTCAAATTGTCTTGTCTTGATATCTTCTTTCATTCTTTAATCCACCATTTTCTGATTTAAATCAAATATTTTGGGCGCAGATACTATAGTACTAAAGTTTTTCTCCAGAATTCTTCTCACCTGTGCTGATTCGTATGTGATGGTCTTGGTCTCAGTGTGAACTAAGGGGATGTCCTTGTAGGTCACACTTCCTCTCAGGGAGTTGGTGATATCTGAGATGGTGATTGTCTGGGTCTTTAGCATGGGTGACTGGAGGGATCAAATAAACAGTCAGCAACAAACTCTCTATCAAGACAAAACTGTCACATATAATTATCATACACTCAGTGTCAATATGTCAATAAATTGAAACACATTTGCACATAGCAGCCTTTGAGGATTAGGTCCTGCAGGTCACGTCACAGCTTCTAACTGCCACCATACTGGTGGGCAGAAAACACTGAACTCTCTGTCTGCAGGCAAAATGCATTAATACTGACTGCAAAGGTAGGTAATGTTAGTACAAGCCCAGAAAGGGAGTACTCACCAAGTTATTATTGTAACTTAAGTATGTATATGGACTACATAGAATTGAGTTAAGATTTAGTTCACACATAAATCCATGTTCAAGTGTGTTTAAACTGTATGGTTATACTGTCTTTGACATCATGATATGTTCTTATGAAGCCATCAGCGGGATGAGGGCTCTGCTGTAATATTAGTTGCGTTAGCTAAATAAGACACTGTCAGGGCTTGTTGTGTTGGAAGAACCTGCACTCATCTTGATAAGTGTAACTTACTCTTAGGAAAGTCAATAAACAAGGTAACCACTTCCTGCATGCTTTATTTTATTAGTTCCCTCTTTTAATGGTTTGGCACCTCTTGGCAGAACAGGAATCTTGCAAAAAGCTGATACTGAGACATGAGCACGGATAGCAGGAAAAAATCAAATGTCGCTCTGAAATATAAGGCTCTTATGGAATGATAATTAAGCACCTAGCTTGAACGGGAACAAGGTATTGTGTTTTTCATGATTATGCAGAAGTTTTTGAATGTATCGCTATCTTCTTGTCATGTCAAGTCATGCTAACTTTAGCTTCTCAGCAATGTTTATACCAAGAGATGTAACCAGGGCTTGACATTAACACCCGCCAACCAGCCAAATGCAGGTGGATTTCAGCCGTGGCGGTTAACACAGTCAATCCCACGAGCCGTTTTGGCATGTTGAAATATTGTAGTCTTGTCAAAAGGCATCTGAAATAACAAATTGCAATGTGACATTACAACACTACAACTCCCATGAGTACTACCTGCACATAGTGTTTGCTCATTGGTCCATTTGTGATGCCTATTGTCTTGTGTGCTAGTGATGACTTCATGTAAATAAAAAGAAGTTGTGTAGATTAAACTAGCAGACTGACCATTGGGAACACCTGGAGATTTCCTGGTGGCCTAAGGGCTGTTTTGGTCTGCCGTTAGTTATCTACTTGATCAGCTGCAGCGATGATGTAGCAAGATTTTTAATAATATCAAGCAGGACAATACACACACAATACACACTCTCTCCTGCAGTGCCGTAGCGTGATCGTCTTCTTTTTATTGGTGATTTTAATATTCACATATGGTGTGAAAACAATCCTTTGGCAAAAGATTTTATGAATCTTACTGACTCATTCAATCTTAACCAGTCAGTGACTGGCCCAACACATCAAAAAGGTCACACATTGGACCTTGTACTGTTGCGCGGTCTATGTGTCCATATCAAGGAAATCTGTAACACCGGTATATCCGATCACCTGTCTGTTCACTGCTACCATCCCCTGCTCCAGGATCGCAGCTTGTCATCCTACTCGTCGTTAGCGTGCGATCAACCCTTCAACTACGCTGCAGTTTGCAAATGCTTTTAAAGAATCTAAACTCTGTAACCTGGATGGTGGCTGTGGTCTCAGTGCTGAGGAGCTCATTTCGTCCTTTGGCTCCACCTGCACTGATATTCTGGACTCTATTGCTCCTTTTAGAATTAAGCTCCCAAAACCAACCTCAGAACCATGGCTAAATAACACAACCCGCTCTCTTAGGCATACTTGTAGACAAGCTGAAAGGAAATGGAAAAAAGATCAGCTCCAGGTCTCCCTAGAAATTCTAAGACACTGCCTTGCAAGCTATCAGAGAGCCGTAAAAATTGCTAAAACTAAATTTATATCCAACATTGTCTCCAACAATAATCATAGGCCCCAGGTTCTCTTCAATAATTTAAACTCCCTTATAAATCCTAGCGATGCAGCTCAAATTGTGCCCACACCTACATTATGCGAAAATTTTAAAATATTTTTTTATTGGAAAAATGTTCAAAATCTTTACCAACTCCTCCGCCATAGGCCCTTCAGTTCCTCCTACATACTCAGCTGTCTTTAAGCAGTTTGAGCCTGTATCATTCTCCTCACTATCTAAGATAGTTCAGAATCTGCTGCCTACAAATTGTCCCTCAGATATCCTTCCCTCTTGTCTTTTAAAGGACGTTTTTAATACTGTTGTGTGTCCAGCATTCTTATTTTAATAAATACATGTCTTAGCGCAGGGTGTGTCCCAGCTGCTTTTAAACATGCTGTAGTGCAGCCTCTTATCAAAAAATCTAATCTGGATCATGACATTCTCTCTAACTTCAGGCCTATGTCCAAACTACTCTTTCTTTCAAAAGTGTTGGAGAAAATAGTCCTGAACAACTACAAACATTCCTCAACAACCATGGCATCCAGAAGAAGCTTCAGTCTGGCTTTAAACCATGTCATAGTAGAGAAACAGCACTTTTAATGGTTTTTAATGATCTCCTTTTAACGGTGGATTCAGGTAACTCTGCTGTTCTGCTCAGTCATACCTGACTGAGCTTCTCGGTTCATTTAGCTGAACACTCTTCGTCAGCTGCTCCTCTCACTTGCGGGGTCCCTCAAGGTTCTATTCTGGGCCCCATCCTCTTTTCACTGTATATGTTGCCACTGGGTTCCATTTTCACCAAATTAAAAAAACATTTCAAAAGTTTTTTCAAGTTAAAAAAGAAACAATGTATTGAATGAAGCATTAGCCTGTACAGAAAGAAGGCAGAGGTGCAGTTTCACACAACAAATTTCATGACTTAAATTAAATGTTCATGTAGGGCTGCTAATTATTTTGGTCAATTTTGAGATCACAATTATTTAACAGGATTACTCATTGCCTTAGGAAACATTAACTATTGAAATGTAATACTTTCTTTTTAAAAACTAGGCTACTAGCATTACTCAAAAATCCCAAATAGCCCATGAAATAAGAAACAATAATCCAACATTATTAACCAACGAATGTTAAAATCAAGGGCAACTGGACTTGGTTGAAGATACTGGAAGTCGTTTCATCCCTCATCCAAAGGACTTCTTCAGGTCTGACTGACTGGCAGGGAAACTCAGCTATTTAACCTCAGTGGGGTCGTTGGCCCGGGTCATCGATACCGCTGGTTCGTTACTGTTCCTTGTTGCTGTGACGACAGTCGTTACAGTCTTTAAGACTACCTGTGGCCAAGACTGAATGACCCTCGTTGGTATCTTCACCTGAGGCCAATAGGTCACGTTTGTTGAGTTTTCTGGGAAGTGATGAAAGGACAGCATTGTAAGTGGAGGATAAGTGGTGGCGTAGACCCCCTCCTCTGTTCAATGACGGATTCTCAACCTGGGTGTAGAATTGCTTCCTTGACACCTCTTTCAAACCACCCATCTTCTCTGTTTAAAATGTGCACCTGGTGGTCCTCAAACGAGTGTCCTCTGTCCTTCAGATGTAAGTAGAATGCAGAGTCTTGACCTGAGGAGTTGGCCCTTCTGTGTTGAGCCATGCGTTTGTGTAGTGGTTGTTTAGTCTCCCCAATATACAGGTCTGTGCATTCCTCACTGCATTAGACCGCATACACTAGATTGCTTTTCTTGTGTTTGGGTGTGCGGTCTTTGGGGTGTACCAGCATCTGTCTTAGTGTGTTCTTGGGTTTAAAAAACACAGGGATGTTATGTTTGTTGAAAATCCTCCTGAGTTTCTCTGATACTCCAGACACGTATGGAATCACAATGTTGTTGCGTTTGACCTTCTTTTCCTCCTCCCGTGTAGTTTTGTACTTCTTGGATCTTGTGGCTGTTTTCACAAAGGTCCATTTAGGGTATCCACAGGCTGTAAGTGCCCCCTTCAGGTGGTTCTGTTCCTTCTCTCTGGCTTGGGCGCTTGTTGGTATGTTTTCCGCTCTGTGGTGCAGTGTTCTCATGACCCCTAGCTTGTGCTCCAGTGGGTGGTGTGAATCGGTATTGGTCTGTGTGTGTGGGTTTTCTGTAAACACCAATCTGCAGGCTCCTGTCCTCTTCAATGTGTACAGCGCAGTCCAGGAAGGCCAAACTGTTGTTGTGAACATCTTCTCGTGTGAGCTTGATGTTACTATCCACAGAGTTGATGTGTTCTGTGAAGGCATAACTATGACCTGGATGACTGCGAATCTTCATAGACAACATTATTAACTTTAGCAGCAGCACAGTTTCCCCCAAGTTTACAGCTTTGGGTGATGGATGAGTCACTGAGGGGGCTCTGTGTGTGTGTGTGTGTGTGTGTGTATACACGGAGGGGAGCAGAGCAGGTGACAGGTGAACTACTCGAGTTGACGAAGTTACGTTACAGAACGCTGAAATAAAACCGTGGTGTTTTGTCGGAAGATGCAGTGACAGAAACCAGCAGTGAAAGGTAAAGCAACACTGAACACACCTCTAAAGCTGATGATACATGGGGCAACTTTTTGAGCAATGTTGCTGGGCAATCTTGCTAGTGGCAAGTCCGACTATGTTTTGAACGGATAGCGGCGGTTCGGGGCGGGTGGTGGAGTGGTGGGGGAAGGGGATTACGATAATCTTTACTCATTACCATTGACGGCAACATTGCCCTGCACGATTGCTCAAAAAGTTGCCCCGTGTATCATCAGCTTTAGGGTGGGACGAGAGCCTCAGCTGTGAAGGAAAGGGGTGTGCTGGATTTATAAAACAAAACGAGTGTCGTTTTGAAACAGAACCCGGTGCTATTGTCGTTTTATCTTAATTAACTATAATTGGTGGAAGCAGTTTCATTCAACAGGTGCGGCAGTCTCTCTACACTGTTTCGACCTGACTTTTCTTTTCTCTGTGAGGTGGAGGAATTTAGAAAATTGTGTGGCTCTGCGTCAGGCCCCCAGCTGTTGTGCATGGATTTGCCTATGCGTAAAATTCATACAGCCAGAG